TCACCAGGAAACTCTTCCAGGATATTCCCAAAGACCTGCGTCACTTTTCCATGATGGAAGAGGATCTACAACCTCTACAACCTCTAATTAATCTTGCAGCTTTTTGGTTTTTCACTTTTCACCATCAGCAGTTTCTTCGGGGGAAAATCACATCACTCAGGATTTTTCCTCTAGAAAATGACACAATATTTTCCACACGTGTTGAAGTTAGAAAAAGGGGAATGACCATTAATTTATTCCCAGAAATGCCTCAGAGTGAATTTCAATTTAATTAAGGAAGGCAAAAGCATGATGGGCTACTTGAAATTAAAGGCTCATTTACCTTTATAAGCCAATTCAAAATATCTAAGCCACCAATTTCTAAATAATTTTAGCTCAAGTTTCAACAAATATTTCACTGTTAACAAATTTATATCACTAGAGGGATCAAGAGAAAGTTTTTTTAAAGAAAAACGGATAATTTTTACCTCAGAACATGAAGGGAAGCAGCCTCAGAGCCCAGAGCTGAGCAGTGCTGGAGCCTCCCCTCATTTGTTCCACGCCTTGAGAATAGTTATCAGGATTTCATCTGAAAAACTTCCACATTTGCCTAGCTGGCAGCTCAAGAAACCTCCAGCTCCTCAGCACAGACACTCTTCTGAGCTGGGATGGAATTCTTCTCATAATACACTTCATTTTTAATGTGTTAGAGGCGTTTTAGGACTCAGACAAGTCTTTCCTTTTGGATGAATCCACAGTGAGTGTCAGAGTTTCCAGCAGAAAACCAGCCTGAGTAAATTCATCTACAGAAGTGTCAAGAACTGCTGCACAAGCTGCTCCAACAAAAGCCACAAGTTTTGCATCTTTAGCAGCACCAACATTTCATTCTTAAGCAGTCCTGATCCCAGGCCAAAGGGAGAGCTGTCCTTAAATTGAAGCCTGAATTATCTACTCAGCAATTCTTGCCCCAAAATCACGTGCAGGTCCTGAAATTACAAGCAAGGCTGGCTGGAAGAGGTAAATAATAAATTAAAGCTGATCAACTGCCTTATGCCCACATCAATAATGCATGCAGGTTGCATGCACAGCAAAATGCCACCAGATTGAAGAAACATCAGCACGTCTTAATAAAAAATTTAAAAATAAACTTGTGTGCCTGTGTGCAGAGTTCATCGTTTATAAAGGTAAATAACTTAATTACCTGGCTGGCAAATGATGGCTGAGGGGGAGAGGAGGAGCTGCCTGCATCCCTCATAAAAACCATCCTATTTATCATCTGTACAGCAGCCTTGAGGTCTGGGCCATCATTCTTTGAACAAGGACAGTTCCAGGGACAGTCCTACCCCCAAGGAATTGCCTTCCTGCTCTCTCACCTTGAACACCGAGTGCCAGGGGCAGGAAAGGCTCTCCCAGCCACCCCTGGGGTTTAATGCAAGGAAAAGAACATTGTCCCTCCTGCTCTGTCAGCTTCGAGAGAGCCAGCAGGTAAACACAGCTCACAATTAGCCAGGCTGTTAAAAACTAACCAGCACGTGGGGGTTTCCAGGTGGGAAAAGCAGACCTGGAGCTTTAGAGACCATGTTTATTTATTCACTTGGATGCTGCTGGTCACAGAGCTCTTGCTGGGGCTCAGAGAGCAGAGCTCAGCTGGGGCACAGCCTGCTCCCTGCCAGCCTTCCTGGGAAAACCCTGCCAGCCTTCCTGGGAAAACCCTGCCAGCCTTCCTGGGATAACCCTGCCACCACCCAGCTGCTGCCCACGGGACGGGGATAAAAGGTACCCCAAAAATGAGATTCCAGCAGCCTGATGGCAACTCAGCCAGAGGAATGGAGTGACTGGCAGCAAACTGTGTTTATTTCTGTTTGTTTCCACAGGCTGCAGGTTTCAGCAGGTGAATTTGGGGATTTGCACTCCCAGCACAGGGTGGCACACGCTGGGGATCCCTGGGACACTGTCACTGATCACTGCTGCCCTGTTTTTTTAAGCTCTTCTAAACCTTCTGATGTTTACATCCTTGTAATGAACTTTATCACACGCTTTTCTCTAATTAATTATTGTTTTGCATTCTTTTCTGGAGGAGGAGAAATGTGATGGACTGTTGGTTTGTCCAGTGGCAGTGGAGAGGTGGCACTGTCACCCTCCACTCCACTGTCACTTCTGGAAATCTATAAATGTTGGACTCAGAAACTGCCTTCTTTTTACCTTGGTGATTCCAATGTCCATGTTGGTTTATTTCCTGTCCTGAAGTGACAAGACCACCAAGTGAATGGAAGAAATGAAAGCTTGGGGAGTGATCTGCTGCACAAAACCCCTCAGCACAGCTGTCCCTGCTGCCCTCGAACATCACAGAGCACAGAGGTGACACTGGAGCATCTGTCACCAGCAGCACAGCCCAGCAGAGGACAGAGCAGGGGCTCTCTCTGACCCTGCTACAGCAGCAGCAGCAAACAGGCAACGGCTGGTTTAGAGCAAAACAGCTTCTTGCCCTGCAAAAGTTGCATTTCACTGGGGGAACAGCAAAGTTCACCCCACATCTCTGTCAAATGAATGCCAGAAACCCCTCAGGGTTTATCACCCTTTCCATGGCCAGCTCCCCACAGGTTCTGCTTGTGAAAAATGCATATTTCACGATTGGCTTTTCGCAAATATTCAAATTAATATTATATGTGTAATGTTAGAAAGTTATGCTGTATTAATTTTCTTAAGTAGTGAGTTAAATATAGTTCTAGGTTATAACACAATGTTAAAATAGAAGCTGTGCTATGTAAGATACTTTTAAAAGAGAGGAATAAGGTACTCGCACCAAGATAGCAGCCACAGGACACCTAAATTGTTCAGAGAAAAAGAATTTATTGCTCCAGTATCAGAAGAAACTAACTTCTTCCTGCCTTGCTCTGCCCTGAAGACTGTCAGGATTCAGAGGAAGAAGTGGACACTGACAGACAGAATCCTTTGTTTGAATGGACTTTATTCGTCATGTATGAGGTGTATGAATGTGCAACAGGCTGTTGCTTTTAAGGGTTAATCCTCTGTTAACCTGGGTCCTTTAATTTCTGCCCACAAAGAGGTACCTGGACTGTCCCTAACTCTTTGTTTTTATTGTCTCCTATTATCCTAATCCTAATTATCCAATTTTTTTATTACTCTTAATTTTATTACTATCTTTATAACCATTTTATTACTATGAAACTTTAAAAATCCTAGAACCAAATGATTGGTGTTTTTCACATTCTCCTGGGGGCTGTTTGCTCCTGCGGTGGGAGAGCCCAGGGGTGATCCTGGAAAATGCCATTGGAGAGCACCGTGTGTTTCCCGGGGCAGGAGGGGTGGATCTGGATCCTGCTGCACTGGAGAAAGGAGGTGCCAGGCTGGCTTTGGTATGCCAATGTCCACCACTTCACCTTCCTTCCAGTCACTGCTCCCAAACATCACCAAAAAATCCCTTGGGGATGACTGAGCAGGAAGTTGTCAGCGTGGCAACGTGTGTAAACAACAAATGTACAAGGAAACGTAGCTCTTTCTTCCACCTTGACACAAAAAGCAACGTGTCTTGGCCTGCCTGAAACTCATTCACCATCAATAAATCCAAATTAAATCCTCAGCTGAAGGATTTTGGATCCTTCATCCTCTGAACTTCAATATTCTGACACTTCAGCACGTGCCTCATGCATTACCTTTCCCATTTTGTGTGCTGTGCCTGAATCCCTGCTTGCACCACCACTGCTATGTGAAAATCAGAAATATTTCCTAAATCAGAAAGATTTCCTAAATCAGAAATGTTTCCTAAACCAAGAGTTGTTTTTCAATGTCAACTTGCTGAGAGGGGTTATCAGATCCTCAATGGCATGCATTCATTGATGAAAGTTCTTAAAAAATTAATAAGCTGACAGACTGACCTTGCTAAAGGGACCTGATGAAAGGAAAATTATCAGATAATCAGGGTGGATATTCAAAGCTCTGCCCTGTAAACACTCAAGCACCACAGCAGGCAGTGAGTCGGTGTGGTTTGGTGGGTGCAGAAATGTTCAAGGTTTCTCTTTTTCTGGAAGTGCAGCACATCCTTTAAACACAACCCCACAGATGGGCTGCACCGGAGCTGCAAACAGTGGAAGAAAACTTGGCCCACACTGAGCCAGCCTAAGGATTTATAAACTTATATCCATTTCTTGGAGAAATCCTTCAAGTGTCTTGTGTGTTTGGGGCCTTCAAGAAAGGTGGATTGTTAAAGGGAGAGTTAATTGCGCTGCATATAGATTGTAAAAAGGAGAGTTAGTTCTGCTGCATGTAGAGTGTTAAAGAGTTAATTGCACTGCATGTAGAGTGTTAAAGGAAGAGTTAATTGCACTGCATGTAGATTGTTGCAGGGAGAATTAATTCCCCTGCATGTGGGGTGCCCTGCAGAGGGTTACATAAGGTGCAGCTTTATCTCCCGTGGCCACACAATACAATGCCTGGGCATTAATTCCCTGTGCTGACAGGCTCTTGGAGGCCTTTGGGAATGATTTGTGCCCTTTCCAGCCAAAGGACTGTGTGACTTTCAGGTCTGGAAAGCTGCCAAGGACTGAGCCCAGCCACCTTGACACACAGACCCACTGGGCTGCTTGGTGTCTCTCTCTTGTCCCTGTACTAAGGATCTCAAGGGAAGTCTCAGTGGTGGGAATGAGCATCACATCACCCAAAAACACTGGCAGGGTCTGGCAGCATCACTCCCAGGCAGGCGATGCCAGCAGAGAGGTCACTCCTCTCCCTCAGGTATCCTCAGGACACCTCAGTGAGGTTAAACCTTCTCACCCACTGGCTCAGTGTCACCTGGAGGACCAGGAGCGAGGACAGAGCCTTGCCCTGCCACTCCCAAACAGCTCCCAGGCCTTTTCCTCTGGCACCAGCACATCCAGCCAACACCACGCCACATTCCAGCCAACGGGCGAGGACAAAATCCGGGAAGAGGCACATCCGGGGCAACACCAGACCCTTCCAGCCTATTTTCGGGAGCGGGGGAGGGGAGCGGCCAGAGGACCTACCTGCTCTCACTGCACTCCTTCTTCTCTCGGACGCGCAGCCACTTCCGAAGGAGGAAGCGCTTGCGGCGCGGGGAGGCACTGGGAGTGGAGCAGTTGGACCAGGGGGTGTCCTCGTCACTGGAGGGGGTGATCTCAATGGATGGGAGCTGCAGGAATTCCTTGCTGGAGGAAGGAGACTCCGGGTACCTGCCGGCCTCCAGGCTCTGCTCCTGCACGTTCTTCATCCGCCTCATCTTGAAGCGCTTCCTGCGCAGGGTCGGGGTGGACGAGCTGGACCAGGCGCAGCCGCCCTCCAGCACCTGCTGCTCGGGGACCCGCAGCGCCGGGAGCTGCAGGGTTTCTGTCATGTTGGCAGCTGGCATCAGACGCCCTTTCTCCTTCTGCTCCCACCCCCAGGCGCTCGTAGCTCTGATCCCGGCGTGAACCACACCGCAAAGCCACAAGTCGCCTTCCTCCTTCCTCCTCCCTCTCCGCCCGGCGCTGCCCTCCCTCTCAAGCAGGAAACCTCATGTTCTTCACGTGCTCTCATTGAACGAGCGGCGCGGTGGGAGGGGATGGCCGGGACACGCTCGTGTCACAAGGGACGCCAGTTTCAAGTTTCTTTTTCTCCTTCTCTCCTCTACAAAAAGTCCCTCCCCTGGCCGCTCTCTCTCAAAGCAGGTTTAGCACTGCCACCAGGCTTGGCCGGCTTTCAGCCGCCCTCCCCAGCCCCCCTTTGCCTTCTGCTGGCTCAGGAAAGGAAAAGTCTCCCGGGGCTGCTCTAGGCAAACTCGGCTGTGGTTCTTCTCGAGGGACGAGGCAAGCATGGAGAGGAGCGGCGTGGAGCTGTGGGGAGGGCAGAGAGAGAAACAGAGGGAGGGGAGGAACAAGGCTCGATAAAAATCAGGAGAAAGAGTAGCAGGAGCAGCTTGCGCTGATTCTGTAGCGGGTCAGAGACACGCGGGCAGCTGCCGCAAGTGTAACCGCGCTGCTAATCCCGACACGGGTTTGTGTTACCGGGTGTGCTGCTGCTACAAACCCGGCGGGGGAAAGGGCGAGCGAGAGGGGAGAGCCTCCCGGAGGAGCCAGCTGGGCTGGGTTGTGCCTTTTGTCCCTTTTGTCCCTTTTGTCCCTTTTGTCCCACCTTCCTGCTCAGCCAGCCCACCCCGGGAGGGAGGCAGCGAGCGAGCTTGGACCTCCAGCCTCCTTTCACAAGAATTCAGTCATTTCTCTTTTTGTTTTTATTTTTTTGTTGTTGTTGTTGTTCCCATTGACTGCTCGCAGAGAAGCCAAAGGAAAGAGGAGGGGGATGATTGAGGAGCAGCCAAAAAAAGCAGCAGCAGCAGCAGCAGCAGGTGGCAGCAGAACTGGTCCGGCCTTTTAGCTCAGTTTCACGCGAGTGAAAGCTGATTTAAAAGAGTCCTCTGGGGTGATGCTGCTTCCAAAATGCCGGTGGGGGATGGAGGGGCGCGGTGCAGGAACCCACGGACGCCACACAGGGACAGGCACACGTGCGGAACAGATTTCACAGCGGGACAAAGGGGAAATTCCCAGGCACCCACACCCCGAGGGAGCTGCAGCCACAGGACACGGCTTGCACAATTCTGGTGACGAAACCAAATCAGGAAAAATGTTGTGACAGATTCTCCATCAGTGCCCTCTGAATTTCGCTGACTGATCCTGCATGAGGCCCTGTTTTCATGTTTAAAAAATAGAATATAAAATTAAAATCCTCTAAGGCAGTGACTAAAACTCAGCTGCGTGAATTTCAAGCGTGCTCTCTCTCAAAAAAAAAAAAAAATCAACACAAAAACATCTCTAAATCAACCTGACACAGCTTCAGTTTTCATTGTTCAACAGCCTGAACCTTTAAAAATATTAGCTTCAGGTTAGAAAATATTTGTCAACCCAAATCAAAATAGTTATTCTTGCACGGACTGCCACGTTTTTGTTTGAAAATAAACTTCACAGCAACTCTGAACATCAGAAACTGCCATCTAGGACAGAGCCAATGTGTCAGGAAAAGAAGATTTATAGCGGCAGGAACAAGGGGAAGGAAACATTTCAATCAAATGACAGAGCAGTTTAAATGCTCAAGTGCTATATTTAATTTCTGCACTGTCCTTTTTGCTCTGCTCATTCTGTAAGTTAATAGCTTGACAGCTCTTCAGATGAATTTCTGGAGAATCTGTCACCTTGGTATCCATGCACCAGGTGCACACACACAAACAGAATGCCTTCCACAAGCACCCACTTAAAAAGGGAAACTCACATCACTGTGGTTTCTTGTTTTCTTTTTAAGTCCAAGAAACAAAAATCTACAGTTCAGACAAGATGCCAGTATTCCAAATATTGCCATTTTGTCTGAAGGGGTAGCTTTGCATCTTCTCTGATCCCTTTTCTCCCACATTGCCATGATTTCCACCTCGTCACCACACACTCTGAAGCATTCCTGGCTTCCTCAGAATGCCAAAAATTACATTTCACCTTTTCCCAGGGCTCTGGCAACCACACCCCCACAGCATCACTCCTGAATTTTACCCAAGAGAATGTGACCGTTCACAGACCCCTCTCCCTGCTCCGGGGAGGGCAGGAGCAGCCCTCTGGAGGTTGTCAGGAAGGTTTGTTCCCTGCATTAATGACTTTGATCTCCCGTGGAATCCTGAAAGAGCCTCATTTAATTGCAGCAACAAGTACAAATGAGGGTCACAGCTCGTGTGTGCTCCCTCAGCACCGTGGGCACTGCAAACCCTCACAGTGCCCCCAGCAATTGTCTAATTAATCCACAAGAGACTCCTCCACGCTGCTGTGGCCCCGAGCAGCTTTGGGAACCACTTTGTTACCCAAGGAAGGGCTGCTGCTGTCACCAGGCTGATTTTTCACCCCGATCCCCGCTCAGAACTCCAGCGGAGCTCCCTTGGAGAAAATTCCTTTTCCCACCTCCTTTACACATGGAATAATTCTCACCAGCACTGCCCCTTTAACTCCGAGCGCTCCAGGGATTAATGCCCAAGCCTCATTTGCATTCCCGGCACATTTTTATCCCAGAGAGGATGCCGGGCACCTGCCTGATGCTCTGGGAATAGAGAGGAGCTCTGCCATGGAGCCAGGGCCAACACCTGACCCAGAGTGAGAGATTCCAGCCTGAGCAAGGACTATTTCTGTCCCCGAGCCTCGGTTAGTGGCTATTCCTGCAGTTTAATGATCCGTCTAACCATGGGTTTATTCCAAAAACAAATGGTTGTCGATGCTCCAGGTTGATCAACAGCATTTCTCCTCCTCAGATATCCAGGGCCCTCAGAAGAGGGCTTGCAAATGAAGCAATTAGGAAAGAAAAATCCTGTAAAAAATATTAAAATCCCTTCCCTGAAGGAAGAACATGAGCCCAGGTTCTTTGGCAGACCTTTCCATAAGGGATAGCAGAATGGGAGATGAATACAGAGTAGGAGCTGGCACTGAGAGTACACAGTAAAAAACCAATTTTATTAATTAAAAGCAGTTATTTTCAAGCACAGGAAACACATTACAGCTTCTTCAGAAGTTGAACCAAGTCACTCAGACCACATCTGGCTGCAGAGGCTCTGCCAGGCCAGGCAGGGAGAGTGGAGCTCTCACAGCCTGGAAGAACTCAAGCAGAATTCCCTTTTTTCCCATAGTTCAACATCATTTTCAAATGATTTCCCTCCCTGTGCAACCAGCTGAGAGTGGCAGGTCCTGCATGAGGAACCTGCAACTCAGGCATGACCCTGCTCAGTCAAAATTCTGATTTTCCAAAGTTCAAAACCATGCAGGGAGTTTTTCGTTTGTGGGTTTGTTGTGTTTTTTTTTTTTATTTGTTTGGGGTTTCTTGTTTGTTGGTTTGGGTTTTGTGTTTTTTTCTCTGGTTTTTGGGGTTTTTTTGTTTGGGTTATTGTGGGTTTTTTCTGGTTTTTCTTTGTTTGTTTTTTGGGGTTTCTTGTTTGTTGGTTTGGGTTTTGTGGTTTTTTTCTGGTTTTTGGGTTTTTTTTGTTTGGGTTATTGTGGGGTTTTTCTGGTTTTTGTTTGTTTGTTTGGGGTTTTTGTTGGTGGTGGTGGTTGGGGAATGTTTTTGTGAAAATTCTGCAGTAATTTTGTGATTTTTAAATACATTTATCCACATTTACTTTCACATTCTAACCTCTTTCTGCAAGGACACGCGCTATATTTGGAGCTGGATCTCAGACAGGGACTTCAGCCACACTTTGCTCATTGCACATCAAATCAGATGAGTTCTATTACAATTTGAGAACTCGTGTTGAGCGAATTCTCATTTCAGTGCCCTGCTGCCAGCAGCTGCTGTCCCCTGAGCAGGCACAGCCCTTTGCTTTGGCCTGGGGGACACCTGATCCCTGCACGTGTTGTTTTCTGGAGCCCCAGCCCTGTTCCCGGGCAGGTGACACAAATTTCACAGGCAAGAAATACCAACAGCAGTCTGGGACAAGGAGGGGTTCACACATTCCTCTTCCCAATTCCTCAGTTCCAATTGAGCTCATGCTTGTTTCAATTTTTCCCTCCTCGGTGCAATATTTCAATTCAAACTCCAGCCAGTGGAAAAATCATCTTTTGGATCAATTCTTTCTGTTCTTTCTAGTATAGAACTTGAATTTCTCTGGGTTTTGGCCTCTGAATTAAAAGCAGGAGTGCACATCCTTGTAGTCCCAGTGCCCACAAGAGCCAAGTGCATCACAGGAGGGCACCCATCCCAAAAAATTGGGAGCAGCAGCTCTCAGCTCCTGCTGGGATCACAGCCTTGCCATCCCCAGCCTTGTGGGTAACAATTTGTGTCCAGTCTCTGCTGTCAGAGCCACAACTTGATGAATATTTATTCCACCACATATTGGTCCCTGCCCATTTTAACAGTACTTGAAAAGATGGAAAAAAGGCCTTTCTCAGGGGTTAAATCATATAGATATTCTGTATTTATAAGGCATTAATTAGAGATTAATATCTATTTGTGCCTCCCCTTTCACAAGAAACAATTCCCATGTCAGCCACAGCCACTCAAGGCTCCCAGCCAGGAATTGCTGCAAGCAGAGCACCACCTTCACCAGGACTTCAGCTCTGGGCTCACACAGCAGCAGTCCCCAGATGCTCCAGACACCCCCAGAATCCCAGGAGCTGTCAGATGTGATTCCAGCAGCTCAGCACACGGAGCATTTCCCCAGCAGCAGGGCAGAACTCGCACAGTTCATTTCTTCAGGCGCTGTTCCCTCCCCAGATTCGAGGGGACAGTGGAGCCAAAGATAGCAAACAATCCAAATTAAATCAATGTCATGGCTTGGCAGAGATAATCCATCAGCAGACAGCAGGGCACAGGTTTCAGAACCTGTTTGGCAGTCTGAGCTCTCTTTACCTTTTAGGAGTGAAGGGAATGATTTGGCACTGCCTGTTCACTGATCAAGGGATTCTGATGGAGCATTGGCAAGGGAAGCTCATTTCTCCTCCTAAATCTAATGAGGGGATCAGGGATTAATTAACCTCAGTCCATCACAGGACAGAGGGTGATCCATCAGAGTGAATTTCCGTTGGAGCCTGGGATTTGGCGTGTGAAGGAATTCCATGGAATTCCTCTCCCTGCACAGCACTGAGCTGATGGATCACAGTGCAGCACTGAGCACAGGACAAGCCTGGGAGTGCAAAGGGCTCTGAACATTGCATTTCCCCTCTCCAGGTAAATCCCTGCTCCTCCAGCCCAGCCCAGCTGGTCTGAGCCCAGGCAGGAGCAGCC